AACATGTAATAGAGCTGAATATTATCCTTGCCTCGAATAGAACTGCCTCAAAGAGAGTTTAAAGAGAGTTTAAATTCTGATTCACTTATTGGGCAAGTAATAGTATTTGGTGACTTTACTTTGAGTACTCTGGCTTCACTTGTGTTACCAAAGACAGATGAGAACTTCCTGACTACAAAACCATGATCTGGTCATGCTATCAACACTAAAGATTTACCTGCGCTAAATATTTAACACATTCTTTGTTGTTGTTTTTTAATTTAGACCTGTCGGTATGTGCCACTTTTAACAATCTGTTAGATTATTAAATTAAAATGTTTTCGGCAAGTCAAATGCATCATTGAAGAACTCTTTCTCATGTATTCGTTGCATGACTTTCATGCATTTTTACTTTGGAATTTGGGAAATTGGGATAGCGAAATCATCAATAAGACCAGATCAATGCACAATATACCTAGATTTAAAAGGCTGTAAAAGTATTCATTCCAAACTGTTTTCTGCAAAAAAAATAGATTGATGAACAGCTTACACTGCTTATCGAGTACACATAGTGTTCTAGAACATTGTGAATAGAGAACATTCTAGAGACTTTTAACTATTAAACACAAGTATAGTATAGTCAACCCAGCGTTTGGTTTTGTTGGTGTTTATTGGAGAAATCTGGGTTGGTGTGGACAGATGCTGAATACTATGCATCATAACCATATTTTTTCTTCTCTGTGTGAAATCTGACATTTTTCTTACAATAGCTACAATGTGTGCATTGTTCTTGGAGCGTTTCAACATAAGTTGATTATTACTCCATATTGACTGAGAAGCTTCATTTATCCCAGTACCATAATCAATTTACCCCACACCTGGGGCAATCTGAGCCAAATTATCAATTTAAAACCATTAAAATCTTTTTAAAAATCTTTAAAAAAAAAGAACACTTAGAACTAACCATTAATCAATTAAACACTTTCTGATCACTGTTAATATTGGTTAATTGAAGGAGCTATTGTTCCAGAGTCAACCCCTATTATATAAACACAAAGTCTTAACACTGTGTACACAATGAATCACTGAAACAAACACACAGGCTTTGTCTTCTTACTGTGGAGAGGGTAACCTACCCAAATGGAAAACTAGTTCTGAGAAGCCATAATGAAGGCAAGTGCTCCTTTACATATTTGTCTAGACACTGGGGGAGTGTTATAGAGGCTTGTTCTGTGGACATGAAGACTAAATTAAAACCCAACTCAGTCAAACAGCTCTCTGTGGCTCTACCTAAGTGGATGAAGGAAGACTGACTCCAGATCAGTTAAATAGCTGGATTTGAGTATCAACATGTCAGTATTTATACATGGCAAATAAAAGCACTGCAACAAATCTGTGTTAGTTAACCCTCAATTTGTCCTCACTCTTTTAGAGTGCAACAACTTTTAGTGACCAGTAGATGGCAGCAAAGAAAAGCAGTAGATGGCAAAGCAAAATCATGAATAAGCCTGTTCTTCCAGGAGACAAACAAGTAGGTAAGAAATGAGAAGTGTGCCATCATGCCCACTGGTTCACCATGACAGGCTGCCAACAGCCTGAAACCATGTACCCCACCAAGATGTGGTCTAGGTAAATAGTAAACACAGTGACACTACCATAAAAATATTGACTATTTTCATTCTGTCAAGTTTGACTTGACTATTTTCACTCTATTTTGACCACTGCACTGTCATGTTTGTTTAAGACCTCCCCTCTCACTCTCTGCTGCTGATAGCTGTTAAGTCACCTTATCTCTCTCTCTCTCTCTCTCTCTCTCTCTCTCACACACACACACACACACACACACACAATGTTCTTCTGAGGTAAAAAGCTAACGTCAATGCTAAGTGAATAGCTGGAGTGCTAACGTTCAGTAAAAGCCACTAAATTAAAGACACTAATGAGTTAGCTCCGAGTTCTGCTTCTTAACTTTATATAAAATTAATATAATAATAACAATGTATCGTTTGAGTAAGAGGTGCAGTTTGATGTTACTTTTGTAGCCCATGCAGCTTAACTACTTACTTTTCAGCCAAAGTGAGGTTCGCAAAACATCCCTTGTTCTTCGTTGTAGCTCACCCACTCAATTCATCCGTTAAAGTGGGAATAAATGTCCGCTCTCTCTTGGACTTGTATGTTTCAGCGATAGGCCTTGGACTGACTCCTTTTGGAGCATTTTCTGGGACTCAGCCAGGTTGTGGTAGTCTGGAAAACATTCCAGTGGATTAGCTTGTTAGCCGCTCAATTGAAGCTCAGGTCTGAATACACATGTTCAGAGATTCTCTCTAATACAAAGGAAATGGCATTGGGGGTAAGCATGACACCCAGCTTGGCCAATCAAATCCCTGTAAGCCAATCATATCCAATCTTGACATCAGTGATACTCTTCAAAATGTTACGACAATTCTCTTCAGCAACAGCAAATCAGGTCACGAGCACTCAGTCATTAACATTAGTGCTTTATAAAATATTGTACAGAATAAATCATTACTGATCACTGCTATCATAATTCACTGAAACACTTATGGTTACAAACTACAGCCATTTAGTTCTGCAGAGACTTGCACTTCAAATGAGTGTTTGTACTGCTGCTGTGTTTGCTGTCCTTTAGCCTGTTGGCTAGCTGACCTGCCTAGATCTAGTTAAGAAAATAAGGTGTAAGCCCCTCAGTTTAAACAAAAACAGGTTACTTTATCAGTACACTCAGTGGTCCAAGCAAGCAGCATTGCAATCAAAGGTTATTCCATTAACAGTACAAGGATTGCTGTGAAATAGCACAGTAATAAAGAGGTCAGTTGTTGTGAGGTGGTCAGGATGTGCTTACATTGAATATTTTAAAATAGCTTTGAACGCGGCTCAGCCAATCAGATTTTAAGACTGGATCTGTTTTATCTATTTTTTAATCTAAAATGATCTGGCCTGGCACCGGAGGTTCTCAGACAGAGAACTTTAAGCCATGTTTTTTGCAGTTTTATATGTGTAAATAACTTACTGTCTCCCAAATTGAGGACAGTCTTAACTTGTCTAATAACTCAACATACACATAATGAAGGGACTTTTGACACCTTTTTGCTTTGTGTTACACCCTTAGGGATTTTAGGGGAATATCAGAGTCACACCAGGGAACTGACAGGCGATCCTACTGCATACACATTAAAGTAAATTAGTTTGTCATTCTTGTAATGGGTACTTGTTTCATAATAAAAAGACAAACTGGATCAAGGATACATTTGAAGAGGCAGGAAATACAATGTTTTTGGAAGAGCATAAAATGAAGCTTCCATCAGAATACATATCTGAAATTCAGAGGCTGGCAGATACATCATTAATAGACTAGCATCACTACAGAGCTAATATTGAAACGCCAGTGCTGAATAAAAATACTAGCGTCCAATTTTTTTTCTACAGAAAAGAAATTGACACATTGCATCCATAACTTTATAGTGAACTAATGAGCATTTGGAAGTCCTCAGATGAACCCTGAGCAGGGTTTGGGCTATGATGTTTTGGCCTGTGTAACTAGTTGGGCAGGTGTGACTGTGGTGCGCTGCTGAATTGTTGAGCACCAAGTCTCAGAGAGCCTATTTCTGTAATCTAAATCCCCCTCCTCAGTAGACATTAAATACTAGGCTTGGCTTTGGCATGTTACCAACCACAGCCAAATCAGACGCTACAGCAAACATGCGGAAGGATCAAACGAAAATGTGAAAAGAAAGTGAAAGAGACTGAGTATAAGGGATTTTCCAGAGTGGTGAAGCCAAGTGCACACGGATGGTATGGACATACACTTTTGTGGTAGATGCACAAAGCCAAGCTTTAAAAAGGAGTCAGATAATTCATTAGTATTCAGAACCCAAGCATAAAACAGACACATGTAAACACCTACACTCACTGACCGCTAGCTATACTAACTATGTTGTATCAACACTCATTCTAATTATCCATTTTATCGGGTCCACTTAACATTTATTTGCACTTTGTAAATTGTACAAACCCATTTCCAAAAAAGTTGGGCGCTGTCCAAAATGTAAATAAAAACAATGCAATGCTGTGCAAATCATTTAAACCCATATTTAAATAAAAAGACTTGTCAATTGTCAAAGTTAATTTTTTGAAAAATAAAAAGCCTATTTTGAATTTGATATCTGAAACACATTTCAAAAACAGTTGGGACAGTGTCATATTTACCACTGTGATGCACAAACTCTTCTTTTAACGGCACTCTGCAAGTGTTTGGGAACTATGGAGACCAATTGCTGTAGTTTCTAATGGGTGACAGCTGGACTGCAGGCAGGCCAGTTTTGCACCTGGACTCTTTTATTATGGCCTTTTCATGTGTTCACCTGACAAAATCTACAGAACAACCCCAGGGAGGCACTGTATTTTAGGAGTGTATTTTGTTTAGACTAGGACATTAAACATTTCAAGCACATTGCTTCAGAGGTGGTCACTGTTCTAGGCACCAAAGGCACCTGTACAGAACTATCCTAGTTTCAAAGGCAGGACAAGCACTTCAATTTTCGCTGGATAATATGCTAAAATGTGATTTTACAATGTGTAAGAAAAGAAATATTCATGCATCATTGGTACTAGTAATAAGGGCAACATCCCCATGTACCTGAAATTGGGAAATATACATATATTGTTGTTTTTGTCAGGACAGGACAACGCATCAACTGAAGAAACTAAAAATTCATTACTGCCCTTTCAGCATATGCACATGTTTCTTTTTTACAGAGCACAATTTTGGGGAGCAGAAAAGAAATGGAGGAGGAAGGAGGATCAGCAATACAAGTACTTAAGCTTCATTGTTGAACAAATAAAACAACAGTGCAACTCAAAAGACTATGAGAAACTATGTACAATTCCAAATACATCCATTGCCAGGATATATGCAATGCCATACATCCAGACTGGTGGTGCCTCAGCTTTTGTCATTAAAATATTCATTAGACTACAGTCTCTTTGCTTTGTATCTTAACTTAGATTAGTAGTATCTTCAGTAAAGAGTTTCTCTTTCAGTTTATAGTAATGCCCTTTCATCTCCATCAGTTCCTGGTGAGTGCCTTGTTCAAGCACTGTCCCCTGGTCAATCACAATGATTTGGTCTGCCTTCTCAATGGTCTTCAATCTATGTGCAATCACCATTAATGTCTGATTGGGGCAGTTGGCCAAGACATCTTGAATCTGTGAAATATTTTGAAGCATGATGTTACATGTTTTTTTAATCTGTTACATGTATTACAAATAACACTGTTTTTCTCACTATACAGTGTGTGTGTGTGTGTGTGTGTGTGTGGGTGTGTGTGTGTTTGTATGTTTACCGCTTGTTCACTTTTGGCATCCAGAAAGCTGGTGATCTCGTCCAGTAAGAGAACCTGTGGCTGTCTGATCAGAGCTCTGGCGATGGCAATGCGCTGCTTCTGACTACTACCAAGAAGGCTTCCTCGTTCACCTACATCTATTGACAGCATTTTTTCAGAATCATGTTGTTTTTAAGACTACCTTCTATGTTAAATGAGTTAGTGTTGTTGAAATCACAATGTAAAGACTATGGTAAAATTATGCAACACTTGTAGTTCTGTGCCACCTTATGTGCTTTCTTATTTAATTGTTATATGCAGCAAATTCAAAATCTGAGCCAGTGTATTTACCTGTGTCATAACCCTTCTGTAACTCACGGATGAAATCATGAGCATTGGCTTTACGAGCTGCTTCCTGGATGCTCTCAAGTGAGCAGTTAGATAGGCCATAGGCAATATTGTCTTTTACTGTACCAGAGAAGAGAACAGGCTCCTGGCCCACCACAGCAATCTGCAAAAGATAATAATTATGAATGCAACCATTTTGATCAACATATAATACAATAGTTGCTAACATTGAATAAATTCTAGGAGGCCAAGTCCAAATCAGAGTGAGACCAAGTCAAGACTGAGTCCATATGAGAGCAGGACTGGGTCACGAACAAAACCCAAAAAATCAAGTTGTCTTCAAGACCGTACTTTAATTAGTCTTTACCTCCTTCCAGTACAAATTACTGAAAAAAATGATTTTCTTTTCACAAAACAAAAGTGTGTGGACAAAAATAACATAATAAAACCTCTTCTACTTACAAAGACAAATGTGGAATGGACTAAAAGATTTCTTTACATTCAACACCCATTCTGAATAGATGCAAGCAAAGCCCTGTTTTAAATGAAGGAACTGCTACTAAAATAGCCACACTCAAATTAGAATTTATGGCGGGTTTTCAGGCATTTTCTCAAACTCCACAGCTCACATTAATACAAAATGCCATATTCAGATGTCTTATGTAATCTAAACGTTAAATGTTAAGAATTTTTTATAAAATTTGTGCAGTCCAATAGCAGTTCCACAGTGACACTACAACAGTATCTTATGATGCAAGTACAAGTATCATACCTTGCTGTGCAGATACTTGTGCTCGTAGTTCTGTAGAGGCTGTCCGTCCAGTAAGATCTGTCCATCCTGGGGCTGGTAGAACCTCTGCAGTAAACTCACACATGTACTCTTCCCCCCACCAGAAATCCCTACCAGGGCAGTCATTTGACCTGGTTTTAGCTCCAAAGAGAAGTCCTGAAACAACAAAATCCAGGATTGAATTTAATGTTTCTTTCCCAATAATTGCATTTGAAACTATAAAATGGTTAAATTCCAAAAATAACAGCATGTAGTACGTTAGCATGTTGCATTTTTCATAATGGATTACACATGAACTGATATATTTTTTGTTCCAAAATGTGCTTCATGGATTGCATATTAGCATGTTTATCATGTTCATATAACAAAAAGAGGATGAAGCTTTCTTATTGCTGTTGTCGGAAGAAAATTTCGTATCTCCATTTTTGTTTTTCAGTTTTTAACATGATTTGAAAAAGCCTGTGGCTCTTTACATAGTGTGTAAATTTCATGAAGAATGGACAAAAAGAAACGGCCCAAAATTACTTGGAAAAATGTCTGGTTCCATTGACTTACATTAAAAGTAAAGTAGGTTTTTTCCTTTTCCTGGAAAGTTGTCTTTTTGGAGATACGTGGTTCCTTCCGACAACAGCGTTATGAATCTTATTCATAAGAAATGCTTATGAATCTTATTTAATGTGAGCTGTCAGAAATTAGTCAAGTGTGTTTCAACTGATAATACAAAAAAAAGTAAATCAAATATTTTGCCCTGTGATCTTGTCGCAGGTTAACTGAACATAAGCTGATCTAAGAGCTGTACCTTTAGCACACTGTGGTCAGGCCGTGTTGGATAGCAGAAGTTGAGCTTCTGAAAGCTGACATCTCCCTTTAGCTTCTCTGACTGAAGCGTCCCATCAGTGCTCACTTCAGGCTTGCGGTCCAGGTACTCAAACACCTTCCTGGCTGCACCCACACAGTTCAGCATGTCTCCAAATCTATAGATCAAGGTCTGAGAGAGGTATAGCAAAAAAAGGTTTTGCAGGTTGTTATAATAAAGGTTTTGCAGCTTCCGGAGTCTCCCACCTTTATTCTTTAGGTACGGTCAAAGGTAGACATACCCTAATGTTGTCCCCCAGGTTTGACTGGTAGAGGATGAATGAGACCAGACTGCCTGTGGTCATCTGTCCATACTGGATAAACAGCCTGCCATAGTGTAGCATAGCCACCTGCACTCCCAACCCCACTAGCTGAAAATGACACACATACATAGACATACAGTTTCACATACAAATACACTCAGTGGGAAAGAGAGGCCTGTGATTAGCAATCTTTCAATAATGTTATGATCAAAAAGCTAGAGTGTTTAATACTGCGAATACTCTGAATGCATACACTGGTTTAAACTCTAGCCTTACTCAGAAATTAGAATTAAGGCATAATGAAAAAGGCAAATGGAACAATTCTGACTTGGTCTTTCCAGAATGGTGAATTTCACATCAAACCACTCTGAATGAATTTAACAATTAAATAAAGCAGAAATTAGCCTTTAAAGGAAATGAATAATTATAATTAAATAAAAGAGTCAAATTACAAAGACAATAGAGGGGCTTAATTTCATACTCACCCGTCTCACCAGTAGGTAAACTGCCCTGACTGTGCCCCGCCGAGTCTTTAGATTATGGGTGTCCATCAACCGGTCATTATAACGACACGACTCACTCTGCTCTGAGTTAAAGCTCTTTACTGTCCTGATGCCTGACACCGTCTCCCCTGCAGCATCGTTGGTTCTTGCCATAGAGTCCTGCACCTCCTTTGTGAGTCTCTACAATAAACATAAACAAGCCATTTTCTCCTGTTTCTTAGCTAGTTTTGAAAGCTTTACAAAGTAAAAGGCATTCTGTAGCTGCCTAGCAGTTTGCAGACAGTATAAATGCATTCAGCAAAATTGTTGTGTATTGTTTATGCTAGAGACCACTCATTCAGAGGGTCAGAGGCGCTTGTGTCAGCACTAATAGGTGCTGAAAATTACATGGTAAACGTCACAAACACGCCACATCCTAGGTTTTCATCCAACTGCTTGTATTCCCAAAGTTATGACTTCTCTGGTCTTTTTGAACCATGCGATGCATGTTAATCTCCTCAAGGCATGGCAACAATACTTTTTTTTTGCATAGGTCAGTGTATGCAGTATGATAACTTATCATTGTTAACTTACTGACATCATATGACTCTTGCTAAGCATCACTGCCAACATGAATATGTGGTCACTAAGTCATATTCAGTAATGGCAGAAAAATACAGACCTCAATTACAAAAAACCTGAGACAGTATGTGAAATGCAAATAAAAACGTGAGTAATTTGTAAATCCACACAAACAGTGAATAATCCAGCAGTTTAAAAAAAACATTCCTTGGTGAGCGATTGCAAGGATTTTAGATATCTCTATGGTGCATAATATCAGCAAAGGTTTCAGGGAAACCAGAACAATGTCTCTAAAAGGGCAATGCCACAACTGAATGCCTGCAACTTTCAACCCCACAGACAGCACAGCATTAAAAACCGACATGCTTCTATGATATAAATCATCACACAGGCTCGAGAATACTTTGACAAATGGTTCTCAATAAAAGGTTGTAACGATTTCAATATGTATCGAAAAATCAAATTTGAAACACTGTATCAAAATGTAAAACTGTATCATTAATGTTTTCTCCTTGTTCCCCTTCAGAGTGTCTCTCATTTTCTGCCTTTCATGAAAACCACTGTCAATGATCAAAACTAAGTATCCGAGTGCCTTATATCAGAGTAAAGTGGGCACGGCTTATGATATGGACCTGTCAAATGACTGGGCTGTGTTCTGTGTTTTTGAAGAGCTTATAAAATCTATGGCTTTTAATTAAACCAATCTGTTCAGTTTATAATTATAGCCCTGTAACATGACACTTTTAGTGCACTGAATATTAATAAATCAAGTTGAATCTTGACCTCTGAAAAAAAAACATCATCTCTAAATTGAACATATGTACATCGATACATCCTTATCTGTCCTTTGCGCATGATGCAAACATTAACACATTAACACACATTCAGGCACTTGTTTTTGCTGCATCGATACAAGTATTGTATCAGGACACCACAATACTGTATCAAATCAAACTTAGAATTTTGCATATCTTTACAACCCCTAAAAAACACAGTTTGTTGCTTCATCCACAAATACAAGTCAAGACTATACTATGCACATCGGAAGCCATGTCACCAAGTCCGGAAATACACCAACAACTCCAGGCTCAAGCTCATCTGAAATGGACTAATGCACAGTGGAGTTCTGACTGCTTATGGAAGTAATGTTTAAAGATGTTTATAGAAATAATGTTTTACATACTATCCTAATTTTTTTTAATTGAGGTATGCAAGCTTTATACCTTCTTGAAGTGCAGCATCTTGAGTTTTCATTAATCTGTTTAACCACTGGATATTTTATTATTACTCTTATAACTACAGTCAGTTTAAAATGACACTCTTACTTTCTTTTCATATGTGTAATTATTGGAGCTGGCACCAATCTAATACCATGCAGAAATGCAGTGGAATATGCTGGATCAGGTATCGGAGAGAAAAATGTTTCGATATTGGCATTGGTATCAGAAAAGAAAAAGTGGTATTGTGCCATCTCTAGAAATTATTAATTAAACTATTTATACTTCATTCACTGTTAATACTTTACACAAATCATGAAACAAAGCAGCATCTTACTTAAAAAGATAAGAGGTGATAAGTGTCCCAGAAACAGAACCACCCACCGACTTCTGTGGCAGGTATTTTGCTGAAATAAAGATCATGATGACCTCTAGATCACCAAATACAAGGAGGAATCAGTGCTATGATGGAAAGACTGGCAAAGCAGCTCTGCTGAATTTTGCGAACAAAATTACTTCAGGGCTGCTACATTTTCATGCAAGTATTTGTTTGGACATTGGTAGGCATTGTTTCTTTTTGTTGGTGGACAAATGTCTTAAACCATTAACCATTTCACCACTCACAAATATATGAGACATCGAACTGAAGCTTTGTGTTTAGTATGGAAGTGCTGGACATCCACACTGACAATGTTTATATCTAAGTCTGTTTGGTCAGTACCTGATAATGTGTGTCATAGATGTTCTGTAACAGGCCAGTCAAAGGTGTCTCCATCAGCATCAGTAGAGTCAGCTTCCAGGAGAGGTTGAACATCAGGTATAGCATGCCAATGGTTTTAATCAGTGTCCGCAGAAGAACATTCACATTCAGGGCTACAGCTCGGGCCATCAGAGTGGTGTCTGTGGACAGTCTGGATGTGATGTCACCTGCAGGAAAATTTGCAACATCGCAAGGTTTGACAACCATTGCAGTCAAATAAAATTCATGTGCTGTCCATGGCCATGTCACACAGCTTAGGGAGTAAATCTCTATGGTAACAGGAGTTTAAAAGCACATGAAATATAATAAAATGACTTTCATGCTAAAATCAGTGTCAGCACCACAAGAAAGCAAATTTCATTCAAAGACTCTATTTTAGTGGCTTGTGGCTACTAAAATACTCACTACACTTCAATCAAAAATGCCACTAAACCAAATTTTAAATGATATATGAGTAATCACACTTAATATGACCAGAGACATGAATTGACAAGGTAAGGGGGTCAATTTTGATTTCATGTTGGCTTTAAACATTATCAAGTGTTCAGAAGTGAGTCTTTGGGTCTTGAGCAGTCTAAGCATGGGGGAAGGAAATCTCAGAGCATCATGTAAGTGTGTACCTGTCTTTGTAACCTCAAAGAAGCCAATTTCTTGCCTGACCAGGGAGCCGAAGAGCTGAAGCTTCACTCTACGAATGAAGCTCCTAACAGCCCACGTGAAGAGGCCTCCTCGGCAGCCTGCACTGAAAGAGCTGAAGAAAGACAAAAAGCTTTATTGGTTAAGCTACAGTTAACATAAGCATCAGCTACTGCCAGAGGTGTAAGTAACGAATTACATTTACTCTCGTTACTGTAATTGAGTACAGTTTTCCCTGTAACGGTACTTTTTTGAGTAGAATTAATTTTTAATGAAATACTTTTACTTCGCTACTTTAATTTTCATAACGTTACAGAGTAAAAATAAATTATGAGCGTATCAGCTTAGAAACCAATATGAACGAAGGGTGGCTAAATTTATAAGATTCACCAATCAAAAACAGCAGCTCCGGCCTTAAAAACACTACAGAGATGTCCAGTTTAGTGGAGAAGGACAGAGGAGACCTTGACCAGCTCACTTGAGGAAAAGACCACATCCAAACGGTCATCTCTATTCATTTTCACACAAACCAAAGGAAACGGCGTTATTATCAGCTGCCAAACACGAAACCTGCTGAGATCCGCTCTCACAATTCGACTCCAGCCTGAGGAAGCATTAGCTGAGCTAGCTGATCTCAGCTAAACAGGTACCGTGTTTACGGTTTTCTTTCTTTATAATGATTCTGTTTATTAAACTTGAAATCTGCTGCGTATATTTTATTACAGTGCCTGTGAGCTACTTTAGTTAACAGGTGTCGCCCGCAGACTACAGTTTACCTGTTTATACAGCCTAGTTTAGCTGCTGTTTTGGAGATAAACGGTCATTTGATACAAGAAATCTGGTCTAATACAGGATCTTCATAAACTCTGAGCAGTGATTCTGTTGCGCCGTTGTTGACTGGCCTGATCTGATCCCTCCCAACCTCCCCGCCCTCTCACTGTCTCTCGCTGTCTCTCTCTCTCTTTCTCTTTCTCTGTCTCTGTCTGCCTTTGTGTTTGTCTTTAAGCTGTGTAGTTGTTTAACTGTGAAATGCAGTAATAACGTCTGGTTCTGTGTGAAGTGATCAGCATCATTAGTGAAATATATTACAGTAAAATCAAAGCTGGGTAAGTTGCTTATGCTGCTGCTAATTTTAATGGTAGAAATGTTCTGAACAGATATCAGTGAAAATGTACAGTTTGAAGGCTGTGAATGTGTTTACTGTCTGTAGAGGTTCACACCTACTAACAATGTAAGCTAGTGTTTAGGGAGCTGATGGGCAGCAGGACTCTCACTAAAATTACATTATTAATTAAGCAATTTACTCATAATTTTGAATCAGTTTTTTTCTCTTAACTGAACTTAATTAAACACTAACACCCTCTACACAGTTTTTCAGGGACTCGAAAATACTTTGTTGGAAACAGATAAACAAGGACATCTTATCTAATCATTTAACTGTGAAATGCATGCAGTTTAATGTAAACCCTGTTGCTTACACAGTTCACAGAAAGGTGTGTAAATGTGCACTAGCAGAGCGGACTGTGATCAGTCTCAGCTCTCAGAACTTTAGCTTTAGTGTTTTTCTGTACAGATTATTTCTAATGATGTAGCCGAGTCAGCTCAGAAATATGTTTGGGTTGTGACAGCAGAAACATGAAAAAGTAGCTAAGTAACTCGGTACTTAAGTAGTTCTTCAACGAACTACTTATTTAATCTTACTGAGTAATTTTATTTACTAACACTTTTACTTGTACTTGAGTAAATTATCACTACAGTAACAGTACTTGTACTAGAGTAGGGATGTTCAGTACTCTTTACACCCCGGGCTACCGCATGTTGTGTAGTGAATACAGAGCTGCTTAACTCTACAGGAACACACACTGTGTCCAGTTTATTTTACTCACCTTCCAAAAGAGAACAACGTCATGAATATTATTGCAGTTTGGAAATCACCCCGGTGGTACTCAGCTCCCAGGATGTCGATCAGCCTTCCAGTGTACAGTGGAATGAACATCTCACCTGAAGAACAATAGGACCTGAGCTCGGATGCTTCACTCACTGATTATTCAAACAACCAAAATGAACGTAATACTTACAGAGCACAGCTAAGGCTAGAAACACAAACGCCCCGATCAGAAGAAGGTAGTCAGGCTTGTAGAAACGGACCACTCTCATGAAGAGGACTCGAGCCTTCTGCTTCTTGTCTTTTCCGTTGTTTTCCTCACTGTCAGGCAACAGTGTCTCCCAAAATAAGCATCCCAGAGCAGCAGCGACACTACCGACCAGCCATGTGTCAACCTTCGCCAGCCGAAAGGTTCCAAAAACAGTTAAGCGACCCGTTTCCCACACCGGTCCTATAAAACAGTGAGCTAAAAGCCATCGCTTCACCACCGGCCTTTTAGCGTCCTCGCACGGGAGAAGGACTCCGTACAGAAAGACACACCGCACTACTGACTCCAGCCACTGTCTCAGCAGGTTATCACTACCGTCCAAACTCTTTTCCCGAGATCTCAGGTGTGTGCCTACAAAATCCAGCGCGTAGATGATGATGAAGTCCAGACATACTGTTAGAACGAAAACCAGAACATTTCGCATGGTTACTGACCGGAGAGAACTGCAGAGGAGACTGTGATGGCCAAACTGCGCTTAGGCGCCTAAACCTCAAACACTCGCTGTCCAGCGCATTCAAAGAAAAGCAGTCGTCTTCGTTTTACGGTTAGCTGACCGCTACTGAGAGCGTCCATTGCCCTCCCCTGAACTGATGTCGGGCGAAAAGTTTACCCATATTAGCTACAGCTTCTTCTGAGTGTCATTTTCTTTCAGTTTCACTTTCACTGCCTGCTGACTGCAGAACAGGAGGCAGCGGTTCCAGGACCGCAGTTTCAGGACCGCAATTCCAGGACCATATGTTTTCGCGACACTGCTTCCTAGCGAAGTGGATACAAGGACCGATTTTACGCGTGGAAAAGATGGATGATGACAGTGGGAGTGTGAGCACAGAACGTGAATCAAGTTTTATATAATTAACGTTAAAACGTTCTGGTGTTTTGAATTAGACAGCAAAGTTAACGTACATAGTACGTACTATGTAGTTAACAAAGTTAACGAACTGTTCGCTATTAACAAAGTTAACTACATAGTCAAGGCACTATACGCAGTTATCTGTTAGCTAGATTGCTTCAAAACGAACTGTTAGCCTGCTTTTTTGGAACCGTAGCACCGTTTTGGCAAGCCTAACTATCTAGCTAGATATCATATACTAATTATTACCATAATGGTTATGATAATGAATTCTACCCAGCACATTAATTAGAACTCAAAAGACGATAAAAGAATGTCCGTATAATATATGTCTGTCCACTGCATTAAATCAGCATAGCTGTTTGTCTTCAGTGTAAATACTTAATACTTACTGTTCTACCATTTAATTAAGTTTTAATAATCTTACTAATTAAACTGTCCTGACTCTCTGTTTACCCCACTATATGTGGTGTTCATTCTATCAAAAGGTGTTTACAGACCTATGACCTATGACAAAGACTTGCTGTTCTGTATTCTGTATTGGTATACTAGTATATTTAAAATATATTGTTTAAAAAATGATCCTTTTTCCTTTGGTAGGCCATCATATATGGCCTAGCTGTGCTGAAGAATTTATCCTTGCAGCAGGCTGAGCAGGTCTTCCTCTGTGCTCCAGTTTATTAACACGGGTAAGAGTAGAGAATGTAATTGTTTTTACATAACGGCATAAAATATTGGTCAATTCTTTAAATTAAAAAGTAGTAACGTCAATTAATATACCATGAAAGTTATTTCTGTTAAGTGAGCAGTGGTTATGTTGTCTTTTTACTATTTCAGTGAAGTGGAGGAATTTAACAGAGTGATAGATAAACAATTGAAGAAAGAAGGGAGACCATTCCATTGGTAGGTAGTGCTGTAACCTAATTCACAAAGTGGGGTTTGAGTATTGAAATTGAAACATCAAATGCCAATAACATTAGGTTTTCTCGCATCTTTCTCGCATCTTTCTCGCATCTCTGCGATGGTTGAGAAACCATCCCAGTTTTAAATGTCTCTTTTTAACCCATTTGCTTTTTGTGTGTGTGTGTGTTATTGAGGGGGATTATATCTTACTTGTTGAATGTTGTTGGTTGTTATTGTTGATATATTAAATAAATATTATGGCACCAAAGCCTTTCTTGTGTCTCAAATATCTGGTTGAGATTTGGTGACTGTAAAAGCAATATGTGCAATTGATTGTATCTTTATTTTTACACAATTACACAAAATGCAACTCTTAATAAACAAGTTTCATTATGAGACAAAGTAGTATTTGGATGGAATAAGCCTTTAAAACTATAATTTAGATAAAGTAGTAGTATTTGGGTGGAATAAGCCTTTAAAACTGTAGTTATGTAGACAGGAAGGAGCATTGGTCATCCCCTCCGCTAGGGGGCAGTGTCGCAAAAACATATGGTCCTGGAATTGCAGTCCTGAAACTGCGGTCCTGAAACTGCTGCCTCCTGTTCTGCAGGAATATAGTATAGGCCTGCGAGGGGCATTCCTCTTCACCAGAGCACCACCAAGCCCCCACCACAAAAAACATGAAACTGGTAGATCAGCGAGAATTTTTGATTATGTAAAAGAGTTTTCAAAGTTTGTTTAAGTAATAGATGACTTTAATCATAACTACTCATTTGTGCTGTATGGCTCTATCTGTGTATGGTTAGTTCTCATTGTGTGTGTGAGAGAGAGAGAGAGAGTGTATGTGTAACTGACCTTGAGTGTGGGGCAACGTGGTGTATTGGTGTGTGCCAAGAAGGCCTCATCAAAGGCTGCGACCTGGACGGGCACAAACACAGTGAGACTGTTTAAAATGGCTTTGAAAAATAAAAGCGCATATCTAGCAGAGACTTAACTGAAACCACATACATTAAATGGATAAAGTAAATAAAGCTCAAAGGCCTAGGCCTGAGTGTGGCATTGGCCTGTAATTACTTACAAAAATACATTAATTCTTGGCTTGGAAATAAGGGAAGAATTTTTGAAAATAAAAAATGATTACTTTAATAATGACGTGAATAATGAGGTGAAAATCTAATTAAAGAAATAATCTATGGCTTGGAAATATTGGTGTTTGAGGTGACTGTGACATTTGGAGATAATGGTGTACAAATCAAAAGGTTTGAACTACTTGGGAGGGGCAAGAAGAAGCCAGGTGATACCCCTTCTTGCCCCTGCACCAACTCAGGATCCGTGAACGTCCACGATTCACCAATCAACTCCAGTTCACCGGAATACTGACCACCTGTGATGTATGTCATATGACTAGCTGTAGTTTAGCCAATGGTAGCGGGCTGTTGCTTCTCTCCGTAGAGATACTCAGCGCTTCTGTCTGTATTTTACCTTCTGTGTTTCTTGACCGTGTTTTTGGACTTTTGTCTCTGCCCTTTCGGATCTGGTTGCCTAATATCAGTGATGGCAAACCGAAGCTTTCTGAAGCTTTCTGAAGCTGTCCTCCTAACTGTGGTTCATTACTCGAAGCTTCATGACACAGTGCACATTAGTGCCATCTGGTGGCCAAAACCTCAAAGTGCTTCGTGTATCTGGCGAACATTCGTTTTACAGCTTTTAAAAGTGTGTTCGAGTGAATTACAACCATGGTATTTGTTGTTTGAATAAAATAAACCAATAAAACTAAATTGTTGCGCGCGTCTTCAATATGTCATTGCTGATTTGGGTACACATCCAGGGTTTGGCTGAAAACTTTGATGGATGAACAATGTATTCTGTTACAATACATGAAACAGTAAAATATTAAAAATACATTTATTCGTCTGTGTTTCAGTATCTTTTTGATCTCAATCTCTGTCTGTCTATCTATCTATCTATCTATCTATCTATCTATCTGTAGCTCTCTCTCTCCTCGAACGACAAGCGCGCCCCGGGCTTTGCTGCTTTTTGAATCTTTTCCCGGAGCAGTCACGTGGTTGTGTGCCGAAATGAAGCTTCGGACGTCATTGGTCATTGGTACAATGATCATTGTAGAACGAATCAAGCACCGACACAGTGATTCGAAGCAATGGGTGTCATTTTTTTGACACACGCCTCGAAGCTTCAGACTCAAGGGAGCCATAACTGCCTGATATTGTTGGTTATGTTTGTCTTTTTCTGTATTTTGGCCTGTTTGTATTTGACTACCGCCTGTCTTTTCACTACGAGTTTTGTCAAGCGGGACTGAACCCCTGCAGTATTTTTATCGTGGCTCTGTTTCGTTACAACAACATGCTTGTTTTTTAGAAAAAGATCCACATCACGGAAAAACTAATTTTACTAACCTTTTTGAAGTAAGAGCTTGATACAGTATGGAAACAGTGTTCATTTTCATGAACCTCCCGAACTGTCAGTCATCCCGACATGGTACAGCAGCTGTAGCCAGCTCAGCTACTGTGACTGGTTGTGTTATTTAATTTTATGAGTACATGTTTGGTGACAGATAAGGTGGAACACAGCAGTGTATCCACATCTGATGCTCACTATGTACACTATAAGATAACTCTCAATGCTGGATTAATCCCTCTCTGTAGCAGTTAACACGGACAATAATCTCGACCCACTGATAAAACTGAAAAATCTGCCACACGTTCAATTAAAGATTCTTTGTGGAAGATGTGACATAGTAATCGTCACAAGTAGATATATTGCTCTGTTACATCCCATCTTGTAACGTAAATCAGCCAACATGGTGCAGACAACACCGTGCTGTTGCCCCCAATATGATTGACGGGTTGTGAAGTCCGTTAAAATGAAAATACAGTCGGGTCGAATGCTTTTTCAAAGGCATTTTGCCACAGAAAAGCACAGTAGACAAGAATATGTAGATTCAAAAAAGAGGTTCTGTTGTGCATTATTAAGGAGGGCAAATGCATAGAAGGTAATTTATATTTTCATTATAATTTTTAAAACCATAATTGTATAATCACATAAAACATACATACGCAGTTCTGGAAATACATTTGAATTAAATCAAGCTACTTGGAAAGCGTCTAAATGTCTGTGATGAAATGTCACTATCGCCTCACAGCAAGAAGGGCCTGGGTTCGATTCTTGGCCAGGTGACCAGGGTCCTCTCTGTTTGGAGTTTGCATGTTCTCCCCGTGTCTGTGTGGGTTTCCTCTGGGTCCTCCGGCTTCCTCCCACAGTTCAAAGACATGCAGTCAGGCCAACTGGACATGCTAAATTGCCCCTAGGTGTAAATGTGTGTGTGAATGTATATGTCTGTCTGTCTGCCCTGCGATAGACTGGCGACTTGTCCAGAGCATTTGCCTTCTGCCCAATGACCGCTGGGATAGGCTCCAGTGTGTGTGAATTTGAATTTTTATTTTGAGTCCAAAATTGCATATTTGACTGGGATATTTAAATTCAACCATAAGAATACATTGCCATTTAACATATTCCTTTTCATTTTCATTTGCAGAGCTACAGGCACTCTAGTAATCAGAGTGAATACAAAATTGTGTTAGCTAATGTGGCTAAGTCTATCAAGCATTGTGGACACATGAGAAGTTCTGGGAACCTTTGGGGTTCTACATGCTGGTGCTTTGCATCAGTGACACTTCGTGTCCGTTATTTTTGTGCTTTTAGGCTACCTGGAAATCACTATGTTATCTCTTTTCTGAAAATATGGATATATTGCCTTAATCAACTCCTATGAATGTTACATGATAAGCAGTGCCATGGATCCTCCTGAGTTAATGTTTGTTGCTTAGTCTTGTAGGTATTAATTACATTTTGCCTATAATGAACAATATTAGAAAATTAACTTAAGAATACTTCAGAAACATTAGAAATTATACTAAATAAATAAAACTCTAAATTATATATCGATGTAATGTTAACTGGTGATAGGTATTTATGGAGCATATGGTCTGTCCAGTAAGATCTGACCATGCTGGAGGTGGTAGAACCTCTGCAGTGACTCACACAAATACTCTTTCCCCAATCAGAAATCCCTACCAGGGCAGTCATTTGACCTGGTTTCAGCTCCAGAGATGAGTTCTAAAGTTAGCACATCCAGGACTGATTTGAATCCATTAACCCATTGTTCATCATTAAGGTAAATGGATATTTAGATAGATAAACAAAATTATTAATCAGTAAGCTCTTAGGCATGGGATTTTTTCTTCAGGCTTGCGATCCAGGTAGTCAAACACCTTCCCTGCTGCACCCACATAGTTCTGTCAGTTAACCTGAATTTTAATCATGCGCTTCTTAATGGTGATGAAAAGAGATTACTTAATAATTTAAAGACAACCCTCAAAATATGTTTGAGAGGCCTGAATGTTTCTTTTCAGAGGGACCTAATTCTTTCTTGGATTCTAAATCCGACTTGTTTTATTTAAGCTTTATTCAGAAACACATGCAACCCTTCACTTTTTGCTATTGAGGCCCTTGTTTCGTAGTCATTGCTGCCATCTAGTGGAGTGCATGTTTCTTGACATTACAGAGTGTTTCCCAACGTCGGTACTGGAGTACCCCTATGCTGTATATTTAAGGGCTTATTCTATATTTTTCGTACCATTTTAATCTCAGCTACTCTGCCGGGAAACCTACTCATTTAGGTACAAGGTTGAAATGATCACATGTAAAAGTGTTCATAAAGTGTTCAGACAAGTAAAAACTATTAACCGACAGGATTATGCTGGTTCCAAGGTAAGATGAACTTTATCTGCGTCACTGTATGTGCTCAAAATAATTTTAATATAACCATACTAAGACAGCAGATTCAGTCAAATCTTGAAACTCTAATCAGTCTGAGCCACCCTAAAGCTTTAGAGCAGCAGTATAAAGTCAGTGGTTCATAGTGCCAAAATAAGGGAAACTATTAGCTGATTATGCTATAAACAACATTTTGGGTCAAGTAAGCTTGAACAGTAATAAATTACCTAACAGGTAAGATAGTCAGATAGACAGCGAGATAGCCGTCTTATAATAAACCACAAACAGAATTATGTGTCACACCTAATTAACATTAATAAATGTATTAGGCAGAATTATTTTGATATCACACTAGTTCAGAGAAAGAGAAACTAGATGAATCAGGAGGCTCTCATCAAGCTAGCACAGTTCTCTACACTGTAGATTTTGATTGTAATTACCAGGTATTTGAGTAACTTTGAGACAACTTAAAAGACAAGCAAAGAGGGAAATAAAGGTATGTACTTCAGGAAATGTTTCATATTTTGCAAATTCTGTCAGTGTGTGCTTTAACACAGGGAACTGCACTGAGCAAAGTTAGGTGAGGGCAAAGTCACTCTAACGCTTGTGAGCTACTTTAAGTGAACATGGTTAAAGATTACTGGGTTCTGTTGTCTGTATGTAGAGATGGAGAGTGATGGATTTTGAGTGAACCATATACAATCAAATAAAAAGAGCAGCTGGTGAGACTGTGTGAATGACAGTTCCAGTTACTGACTTGAGACCTGTGAGAATGATCAGTGAAAAACAGTTTTATGACAGTATTAGGAAGAAAAGAGATTTAATAATTTGAAGATAAAGAAACCATGCAGTTTCAAAACCACCTTATCTATATAGAGATGGTTGACCCAGTGCTGTGAAAAAGTCTTCCTCCTGTCTGAATTAAAGCACTGTTGTGTAATTTTAGCAATGATTGTCACCAGATCTTCAAGCAAAACCTAATAATGCAATACAGTGTCTAACAACACTGTAGAGGAATTTTGGCCACTCCTTGCAAAACCATTTCAGCTATGTTTGTAGCCTTTCACACACAAACTGCACTCTGCCACAACATCTCAGTGGTCTAACTGCACTTCAGCTTCAGTTCACAGACAGTTGGCCTGCCAGACATCTCCTGTAAAATTCTCTGATAAAGTATCCAACTAAACATCCCTAGACCATCAAACTGCCACCACTGTGCTTGACTGTTGGTATGAGGTTCTTACTGTGAAATGCAGTGTTTGCTTTTCTGCTGAGAAGTTCTATTCATTTGTACATTGTTCCAGAACTCTTGGAGATCTTCAAGATGTGTCTTCTTCTTTTTAGTGAGCAAGGGTTTTCACCCTGCTCCTCTGCCGTGGATCCCATTTTTGCCCAGTGTCTTTCTGATTATAGAGTAATGAACACTGACCATAGCCAAGGAAAGAGAGGCCTGAAGATCTTTGGATGCTGCTTTCAAGGTGTCTGTGACTTCCCGGGTGATTTGCTCACCTCGCTCTGGGAGAGATTTTGGCAGGATGGCCCCTCCTGCAAAGATGAACAGCTGTTCCAAACTTTCTCCTTTTGGACAATATGGCTCTGATCGGGGTTTGGTGGAGCTCTAGATCCTTAGAAATGTCTTTGCAGCCTTTTCCAAATGGATAGGCTTCAACAACATTTTTGCAGAGGTCTTCAGAAATTTTCTTTGTTCGTGATATGATATGTGACTTTACAATCTATGTGCAAGCAAGTTCACTGTGATCAGTAGCGTCAAAGCTAGATTTATATTGGGCAGGACTGACCCAAATCACAGCTGCTTGTTAACTGAAGCACTCAAACAACTAATCTTAAATAACCCTTTAATTTGGTTGCATTATCTGGAGGTGCAAATGCCTTCCTATACCTGGAGATAGCATAATTCCTACCTTGCAAATGAAAGAAATGAAATATACACTACTAGAATCCATAATGAAATCTGACCAAATGCAATGTGAAAAATGTACACCAATTCAGAAATTCAGACAGGAGAAAAAGACTTTTTCCCAGCACTGTGTAATTACAGTTAACAAGGCAAGCAGGTATTTGCAGGTGTCAGATCAGTAATTTGTAACACATCATGCTATAAAAAGATGTAGACTTAGTTTTCTATTTTTTTCTCACAACGGGTTAAAGTGCAGGAGAAAATACACGGCAGAATCTTCATCACCACAACCAAAAGAGAGACGACAGAGACTGAATAAACCAGAGATGTGTAAGTCAAACAACTCATACAAAACAGACCATTGTCTGTGTATTTAACTACATTGTCCTGTATTCTCACATTCAATTTGTGTATTTATTGTGTATACAGTAAATCCAAATTGGTGTTTACAGAGTAGTACTTAAATAATGTACTACTATATGCTACTATAGATAATGCTGCACCTTTAAATTCTTTGCAGCTTACTTCTCAACTTTAAAGATAATTTAGATGTTTAAAATGTTAATACTAGTTGATTTTATATCTGTAAACATTTTATTTAGAATAAATTTCTTACATTTCTTCTTCGTGATCTGTCAAACACAGCTGGGCATGACTCCAACAGTCTCCTGTCTGAAGACCAGTTCCTGTGTTCTATCTGTCTAGATGTATTAACTGATCCAGTCTCCACTCCATGTGGACACAACTTCTGTAAAACCTGCCTTACACAGTACTGGAACAACACTGAACACTGTCGCTGTCCATTCTGTAAAGAGAAATTCACCAAGAGACCTGAACTGAAGATCAATACAACACTGAGAGAGGTTGTGGACCACTTCAAGAAGAAAAGTGGTCTGAATAAACCTGGGATTCTTTGTGACGTCTGCACTGGCGTGAAGCAGAAGGCCTTGAAATCGTGTCTTAATTGTGGAGCAACTTTTTGCAAGTCTCATTTAGAGCCACATACAGTTGGGAACCTCAAGAAACACAAAGTAATTGACCCAGTGGCGAACTTGCAGGACTACATATGTCAGAAGCACGAGAGACCCCTAGAGCTGTTCTGTAAAAATGACCAGATGCGTGTGTGTCAGTTTTGCACTCAGACAGACCACAAGACTCACAGGACTGTTTCAATAGAGAAGGAAATTGGAGAGAAAAAGGTGACACTGATTAATGTTGACCTTAAACATCCATCTGAACAACAAAAAATAATTACACTGACATTATTGATTTGAACTCCAAGCCTAGAATAAATACATTTAAGAACAGTTTTTTCCTTTGTCCACAGACACAGCTGGTGAAGACACAGTCAGAGGTGCAGAAGATGATCCAAGACCGGCTGAAGAAGATCAAAGACATCAAACATTCAGCAGAGCTCAGAAAAGTGGGTTAAACATGACATACACTGTAACTGTTTTACTCTGCAGTTTTCATTTAGTTATCTTCATATACTTATCATTCACTGTTGTTTGATTAAAATGAAATTATCTTCTTCCATCAGAGAAACACAGAGAAAGAGATTGCAGACAGTGTTGAAGTCTTCACTGCTCTGATGCGCTCCATTGAGAACAGCCTGGCTGAGCTGATTGAGGTGATGGAGGAGAAGCAGAAAGCAGCAGAGAGGCAGGCTGAAGACCTCATTAAAGAGCTGGAGCAGGAAATCACAGAGCTAAAGAGGAGAGACATTGAGTTGAAGCAGCTCTCCCACACTGAGGACCACCTCCACCTCCTACAGGTCAGTGCCCCTCTATCTGCTCAATGACAATACAGCACATCACACAACAACACTGCCCATGCTGAGGGATTTCTCCTCTCTCCTGCTGGACTGTAGATTTCCCCATCACTGTGCAGACCTCCACACACCAAGAACTGGACTGACATCAGTATTGACCCTGATCTGAGTGTAGAGCCTGTGAGAAACGCTCTGTTAAAACTTCAGAAGAGTCTGGATGAGAAGCTGACAGGTGAGAAACTTTCATATTTGATCTGTTTTCCAGGCATAATTCTGTAGCAGAGGAACTTTTTGTCAGAGGCTCCATGAAAAGTAACTAGCCAGTGATTCTATGTGTGTCCAAGATTAGACTAAAATTATGCCTATAAGCTCTAATGAACATTGTCTTTTGTTGTAATTAGTCACCACAGAACTGAAGAGGATTCAGCAGTATGCAGGTACAGTCTGTAAAAATTCTATTTGTTTCTATATTTCCTTAAATTGTCACAGCATTGCTGCCAATGAAAATAAAGAAAAATATATTTAGCCTTCATTCTCAAACCATTCTCAAAGTTTACCTATTGTATTCTTTTGGATTATGAATGTTTTTATTACATGCAGTCTCATATCACCTATTGTGTGTTCCTCTCAGTGGATGTGACTCTTGATGCTGACACAGCTCATCCTGAACTCATCCTGTCTGATGATAGGAAACAAGTGAGACATGGAGACACAGAACAGAATCTTCCAAAAACCTCAAAAAGATTTATACAGTTTGGTTTTGTTCTGGGAAAGGAGGGATTCTCCTCAGGGAGATTTTACTATGAGGTGCAGGTCAGAGAGAACACTGATTGGAATTTAGGACTGGTCAAAGAGTCCATTAACAGGAAGGAGGAGGTTCCACTGTGCCCTCACAATGGATTCTGGTCTGTGGTTCTGAGGAATGGGAATGAGTATCAGGCTTATGATAATTACCAACGCTGGCTCTGCCTAAAAGAGAAGCCCCAGAAGGTGGGGGTGTTTGTGGATTATGAGAAGGGTCTGGTCTCCTTTTATGATGTGGATGCCAGGTCTCATATCTTTTCTTTCACTGGTCAGTTTTTCACTGAGAAGCTCTATCCATATTTCTGCCCTGGACAAAAAAACTCAGCCACACTGATCATCTCACCCATATCAAAGACTGAATAATATTTTCACAGCATGTAACAATAACTGCATTTAATGGGAGAAAGACACATATTTTATGTTTCTGTGCACAGGAAAACCATATCAGTGTATGAAAACTATGTGAAATTATTTTAGAAATGAACTTTATTCTCTCTTTGATATACATAGAGGAGTAGATTAGAGAGAGTATCCACAGCCATCTGTGGCCAGCAGTACATGAGTGGATAATTTATTAGGTTGGGTACAATTTATGAACATTGAACTCAGGTCCTTAAGAGTAAACAGCAAACTTTACTGTAAAAGAAAATCTGTGTTTTAACCTATGAAAACATGTAACCTATGAGATCATTGACACTCAATTACTGGATTACAGCAAAAGGAGACTATTACGTCTCTGTAAAACACTAAGAAAGGTCTAAATTGTGCTTTACAGTGTAGTTTACTCTAGCACACCCAATTAAACTCAATAAGTACAGTATAAAATGTTTTGCATTAATTTTGATTAACTAAATATCCCCCCTTTAATATATAATGCAATATAATACATAATGAAGAAATCTTAAATGACCAGAGCCTATTCGGTTTTAATAACTGTATTATGGAATACTGCCTCATTAGGTTTATTTAATGAAGAGAAAGCAGAGGAAGCATTGAGGAGGTGCTTTTTTCAGATGCCTATTGTGATCACGATGCTCTCTGACACTGTTGCCATGCCCCGAAAAGGACCCTGAAACATTAAATCCTATGTCTAAAAATCTGGGTTACTATATAGAGCACTATTATAGACAACAGAATTTGTAATAGTAGTAAACGATTTAGGACACTACGTTGTACAGGTTTGCTCATTACTGTGCGACAGCAGATTCCGTAGCATAAATACTATAAACGTCATTCCAGTCCACTATAATTGTTAAGTCTGACGGCACACATCAGAAGAGCTGACTTACATCTGTAACAGGCGTAAAGAGAGTGCTGTTGAGATACTGCCATTACAGCTGGGCTTGTTAGTCCTCCTCAGAGAAGTTGCTCGTGGATCTTTACACTGACCAACACACTGCATTATGGGTATCCCATATCTGCTAGGGTACATTGGTTGTACACTACTTATTGTGGGATTGTTTGAGTGCACTGGATCTTCTGCACTATGTTTTCAGTCACCACTACAAAATGGTGCAACCCTGAAATAGTGCACTGTACTATGCTATACTATAAGACTATAGGATATCTTACCACTGCTATGCAGATCATATTCACATCTACTTGGCCCTCCCTCCCCCACAAACAACTATGGCCCCCTTAACCCACTTTAAAGCCTTGAGCACATCACTAACTGGATAGGACAAAACTTTCTGCAGTTGAATAAAGATAAAACAGAGATTATTTTATTTGGGTAATAGCAATCTAAAAAACTAGTATGTAACCTTGGTGTGCTAATGGACTCTGATCTTAGTTTTAACAGTAACAATTAGATTTTAATTTAATGATTTTCCATTTTGAATCTATTGTTTTAATCATGTTTTTAATTTCTATTCACGTTTACTTTTTTACAACAAATCAGTATTTTCTCACTGTATTTTCTCATTTGTAAAGCACTTTGAATGACAGCAGTGTATAAAAGGTGCTAAAAAATAAATAAGCTTGCCTTGCCTTAACTATACAGTGAATAGGGCACAGTTTCGAACACAGATTGTGTGCGTCTCTGAGCAGACAGGGTCAGGGTAAAAGTTTTCAGTATATTTTTATAGAATAAGACTGAGAGATAAATGTGACACAAGTTGTAATTTTTAAACATTTTTCATGATCTGTGTTGTTGGGAGTGGGCTTTACACATACAATACATACATTTCTACATTTCTAAATTTAAATTTAATACTTTGTATATTTTTCTTGTAATCTTTGTACATATACATATATATCTTTATACTTTTATTGTTTATTCTATTTTGTATATTGTTTGTATATTTCCTGCTGCTCTGTCTTCTGTGCTGCTGTAACACTGCAAATTTCCCCATTGTGGGATTAATAAAGGATTATCTAATCTAATCTAATCTACAAGAGATATTAATGCTGCTATGATTATCACTACAATCATTAGAGAAATAAAAATGTGTTTTTATTATTTAACAATAATTAAAACATAGCTAAAATGTAAAGGTTAATAAAATCAGATCAAATCAAAATAAAATAAGAGGAGAAATAAGATGAAAAGTAAACTAAAAACGAAAGTAGATTTCTTAAAATGACTAAAATAATAATAAAATAATCACAATAAGAATAGGAATAATAATAAATAAACTAACAAATAAATAATAAAATAATGAAAATAAAATATGAAAGGTAAAAAATCATGTAAAACAGTTGCAGGCAGAGTGGAGGTGGTTAGAGAGTAAAAGTTTAAAATGACAGAGTGACACCAGCAAGCTGAGTTTTAGTGTTTCCTGTAGTGAGTTCCAGCTCGCTGGTGCTCTGTAACTAAAAGCAGATTTTCCCTGGTTCAGTAAAAACCGTGATCCAACCACTGGAGCAATACCATTATTTACAGATATCATTGAAGTCATGTATTCTGGCATATGGCCGGAGAGTGTTTTATAAATAAAAATAAACCAGTGTGTTTCCCGCCGTGCTGCTAGTGAGGGCCAACCAAACTTTTTCATACAGTCTGCAGTGAAAAGTGTTATACGGGTCTCCAGTAATGAACCTCAGTGCAGAGTGATAGACGGAGTCCAGTGGTGTGAGGGAACTGGCTGATGCGTGTTTGTAACTTACATCACCATAGTCCATGACAGATAACAAGGTTGCCTCAACAATTCTTTTTCTAGCAAACATAGGAAAACAGGATTTATTTCTATATAGGTAACCAAGCTTCTGTCTTCATTTGCCAACCAGTTTATTAATATGGGGTTTAAAAGCGAGTTTATCATCCAGCCATATGCCAAGGTACTTATACTCTGTGACTCTTTCGATGTTGGATCCTGTCAGGGTAGTGACAGTAACAGTATTAAAATCAGTATTAGTAGATCTCGAAAACAGCATGAACTTAGTTTTTTTAGCATTTAAAACCAGTTTGTGTTTATAAAAAAAGCGACCTGTAGAGCATTAAATGAGCGTTGTAGTTTTCTTACTGCAGCATAAACAGAGTCAGCTGAACAGTATAAAACAGTGTCATCTGCATACACGTGTATTATATGCTTATACATTTGAAGTGTGACCAACACCTTTTACAGTCATTTTAAATAATTTCTTAATTTCTTAGTTATTGGCATGTTCAAAGAAGGAGACTCTAGTCAGTTTGGATGTAGGTGCATACTTTTATTATAAGATTTAAGCAAAAAACGTAAAGCAACCTCTACCATCTAGAGTGCACCTCTCAAAACCACACACACATACACCTGCTATTTCAGAAGGCGAAGCAGTTCTAGAGTGGGGTCCGATGAAGAAAAAAAGACTTTCTTCAGAAGAAGCACAATCAGATGTGTACGGAGACTGTAAGAAGTGTCTCACACACACACACACACTAATGCTTCATTCATCATAATGAAGATACATTCACCATAGCACAGGTTTATGAAGGAGGCACAATCAGGTCTGTCTCTGTAGCTTTGATTGTAAGGGAGGGTCACTCAAACACTGCATGTGTGTTTATTGAAAAAAAAAAAATAAAAGCATGAAATTTTAGTGAGGAACATTTCTTTCCTCTGTGTTCTGGGATGTTTACACAGTCTGATCGTTCATACCTCACCCAAACACTCTCACCTGAGTTAATAAGAAACCTTTTGCTCTCACTTAAACTGTGTGCTGCCTTTGTCTTTCATAGTCCATAAACTATGTGGCATGTAGTTTGTGCATGTTGTAATGTGATTCATGAGATTTTATGTATGCTACATGTGTGCTGTGCTACTCTGTCTCACTACTATGATTTGTCTACTCATGTAAGAGTATATAGCTGTGACACCTGCGAATGCCTCCATATACACAACCCCATTTCCAAAAAAGTTGGGATGCTGAGCAAAATGTTAATAAAAACAAAATGCAATGATGTGCAGATCATTTAAACCCTATATTAATTTGAAAATACTACAAAGGCAACATATTAAATGCTAAAACCGAGAAATGTTTGTTTTTTGAAAAATATATGCCCATTTTATTGGGACGGGGGCATATTTACGACTGTGCTGCATCACCTTTTCTTTTAACAACACTCTGTAAGCATTTGGGAACTGAGGAGACCACTGCTGTAGTTTGTAAAAGTGAAATGTTTTTCCCTTCTTACTTTATATATATGATTTCAGCTGTTCAGCAGTTCGGGGTCTCCTCTGTCGTATTTCTCGTTTCATAAAGTGCCATATGTTCTCAGTGGGTGACAGGTCTGGACTGCAAGCAGGTCAGTGTAGCACCCTAACTTTTTTAATACGGAGCAATGATGTTGTAATATGGGCAGAATGTGGTTTGATACTGTCTTGCTGTAATAAGCAAGGCCTTTCCTGAAAAAGATGTTGTCTGAAAGGCAACATATGTTGCCAAAATATGTATATATCATTCAGCATTATTGGTGCCTTCACAGATGTGCCAGTCACCCATGTCATGTGCACTAATGCACACTCATACTATCACAGACGCTGGCTTTTGAACTGTGTGCTGATAACAAGCCTGATGGTCTTTAGCCCGGAGGACGCAGTGTCCATGATTTCCAAAAAGAATTTCAAATTTTGATTTGACGGACCACAGGACCCTTTTCCACATCGCCTCAGTCCATCTCAAATGAGCTCAGGCCCAGAGAATGTGGTAGCATTTCTGGATCCTTTTTATATATCATTTCTTTTTTGCAAGGTGGAGTTTTAGCTTGCATTTATGGATGCAGTGATGAACTGTGTTCTTGTTCATGACTGGTTTTAATGCATTGTCACATGAGGGCCCAAAGATCTTGGCTAGCAATTACTGGTTTTCAGCCTTGTCCCGTGCATACAGAGATTTTTCCAGATTCTCTTTTAATGTTATTATGTACCGTAGATGATGTAAAGCAAAAGTTCTTTGCTATTTTATGTTAAGAAACATTATTCTTGAATTGTTGCACAATTTGCCCAAACAGTCTTTCACAGAGTGGTGAACCCTTCCCCATCTTAACTTCTGAAAGACTCAGCCTCTCTTGGGATGCTTTTTATACCCAATCATGTTATTAACCTGTGGCCAATCATCCACCAGGTGTTTTAGCATTACACAACTTTACCAGTCTTTTGTTGCCCTATCCCAACTTTTTTGGAACATGTTGCTGCCATCAAATTCAAAATGGGTATACATTTTTCAAAAAACAACAAAATCTCTCAATTTTAACATTTGATATGCTGTCTTTTGTCTTACTACTTTCAAATAAATATAGGGTTTAAATGATTTGCACATCATTGCATTTTGTTTCTATTTACATTTTACACAACGTTCCAACTTTTTTGGAAATGGATTTGTATATCATCGCCAGATATATTTAATTCACTGAAAAAATATTGCGATCAAGTGAATTGAAGAGCACTTTTATGAATTATGAAAACATGGTCATACAGATAAACTGCTGAGTGGCACAGACCAGTACAGCGTTGATCTGTGAAGCATAGCCAGCGAGTCATATGCGTGGATCTGTTTAAGAAATGTGTTTGTCTATTTTAGCATTTATGTTATGTTAGCATTTGTCATGCTCTACTTTTTAGAGATTCTCATTTTGAAGGATTTATGGTCTCTGTGGTTGTAGTTGAGTGTCAGAGCTTAGCTGAGCCAACAGTGCAAGACGAAAAGTGGACTTCAAGTTGCATTTTTCACCTTCTGTACGCTGTTCCTGAGTTGTTAAGCTGAGTATGGACCACAACCTCGCCCTGCCTAAGTTTCTACTGAGAACCCCCTGCGTAAGTTTTTGCGCTCTTTCTCAAATGTGTAAACATGTGGTCGATCCAATCAAACTAGTCCAATAGAAATCCAGTCCAGTTCAAATGAAAGGTGAGAAGGGTGATGACATCACATCAGTTGAGAAAGCGAAAGTAAACCAGCACTGATCAAATTCCCCTGATCAGGAGACTTTGTCTAGGTTTGTCTAGACTACACGTGGTGTCTTTCTGAACTGCTGTGTTTATTCAGTGGTTGTGAGGTAAATATAACGTACAGTTTTGACATACAGTCTGAGTTATCCAGTCACAGTTCTCTACACTACTGGAATAGTGAGCTGAATAATGTGATTTCTTGCTAAAAGGGTTAAAACCAGAAGAGGAGGATAAATGGCACGTTCTTCATCACGACTACCTCGGACAAAGAGCAGAGGAAATTTCCTGGATGAGCCACCTGAGTGTAAGTCTCCACAGAAATAAACTTTTGTGCATCTAGAAGTCATGGATGCGGGAAGTGGGGGTGCTGAGGGGCTGCAGCATTCCCTGATTTCAGGATTGCAACTGTTTAAATAATAATAAAACGTTCTGAATTGTTTAATCATTTCAGCGCAGTAAAGATCCATGTGTGCTTGTTAAATAGTGAAGTTTGTATTGTTATATTCTAAAAATCTGCAGTAGCTGTCCTGTTTAAGTGAACCGAAAACTGGCCGCTTTGAGGCGCGTCGCTCACACACACGCAGGCTTAGGTGCAAAGAGAGAAGGTCTGTGCACAGTTATAGGCTAGTTCTAAGTCCCAAGCAGCTTTTACCCTGAAAACAACAATCTAATGTACCATATTTTTATTAACCGTCATATCGCCCACTCGCTGAGCCTTTCACTGTTCAATCTCAATGTTTGTCTGTGGGTTCAAAGTTCAAAAAGTTCATGCGGAGCGAGAGAGGATGTGCGTCTCTCCTCATTATAGTACTGTATGACACTTTTGTCATACAGTATGAATACATGAAATGAATCAATGAAAAAGGCACATCATTTTGCGTGGCTGCTTAAAATTCCAGCACCCCCAACTTAAAACACCTTCCCACAACCCTGCTAACTGTCGTACTTTATGTTTTCATATACAGTGCGTACTGTGGTGTTTTCTACGGAGCTGGTGACATCCTGTATTAATAAAATAATGCGTGGTTCATTCCCACGCCTTAGTAAGTTGTGCCCACGCATTAGGATCTCGTTCCCACGCCTTAATAAGGCGTGGCCACGCATTATTTTTATTTATATGGGATGTCACCAGCAGGGCTCCGTAGTTTTTCTTTTAAAATAACGACTTAAATTAACATGGCCATCACGAGACCAAAACAGCCTAAAACAAAATAAAGCTTTCAAGTTTGGGACCAAAATATAAGGAAGTTGGAAACTGAGAGATTGACTTAAAGAAGCGAAAACACTGTGTATGAATCTTTCAAACCATGTCATGCAATGATACATTTTAAGAATTCTGTGAAGGTTGATTTATGAAGACTGTCAGTCACATCCATTAATATTTATAACTCATACAGTCACAGTAAGCCTCACAGCAGCTTTGGAAACACATCCCCATTGTCTGACAGCTCATATTTTGGATATACCTTTTAATCTTTACTGTGGAACCTTTTAATTCGAGCATGCTGTTCTCAAATTTCCACAAACACAACTATTTTACTTTTTATATATTACTTCTGAATCAATTCTTGCTCGCCACATGACTTTTAATCTTTTTTAACTTTTTACTTGAGTTTAGATTCCCTCAAGGCTTTTTAGACATGAGGGAGCAGCAAAATGAAGCTGAATAATGTTTAAACTGTTAACTGTGTATATCTGATGTGTATTAAATTAACATTCATGTTAATACTTTATAATGTTAAATGTGTGAGACGGCTGACATGATTTCCTTTGGAAAAGGCTCAAAAAGGAGGAGGAAGGAAATGGCAGAATCCTCATCACTTCAACAAAGAGAAGGCGAAAGGAGGAATGTAGATGAATCATCTGACTGTGACTTGCACAGTGGACATGTACTGTACAGCACATGAGATTAATTAATGTAATTACTTTTCATTTAGAGTGACTGTTATCAAGTAATAATGCAAACAGTGACCAAATACTACATTCAGAATAGAGTGTCTTTAACAGACGGTCATTATGCCAGGATATCTTAGGACATGATAAAGAACAGCGAAAAGACGCCAGTGCTGATGAGGCACCAAGTGTGTACAAGTAAATAGAATATGATGTGATTGTAATTGAATAGAATGCATTAAAATTTAACTAAGTCATGTAGTTTTAGAAGCCTTGAGAATCTTTAATACCAGGGCTGGTTTAACCCCCAAAACCACCAGTTATAAGTTAATCTCTGAAAATGACTTGTTGGTAGTTCTAGACATTTCTTTTTTATCTCAAATCTATGTTACAAATGCATTTATTAGCATTTACCCAAAAATATGGGGGTTTCACTGAGGAAATCACTGAGCTAAAGAGGAGAGACACTGAGCTGGAGCAGCTCTCCCACACTGGGGACCACCTCCACCTCTTACAGGTCAGTGTCCCTCAATCTCCTCAATGACAATGCAGCACATCACACAACACTGCCTATGCTGAGGGATTTCTCCTCTCTTCTGCTGGACTGTAGATTTACCCATCACTGTGCAGACCTCCACACACCAAGAACTGGACTGACATCAGTATTGAACCCCATCTGAGTGTAGAGACTGTGAGGAATGCTCTGTCTCAACTTCAGAAGAGTCTGGATGAGAAGATGAGAGAAACAGGTGAGACAAATACTTGACAAACTGTGTTTTTCAAATTGAAGTTCATAGTAGAAAGAATCTTTTCCTGTCATGGGAGTGGTGGTTGCTTGTGTGGGAGGTTGAGAGGGGTTGGTCCCCTCTGAGAAGTGTTGTTTGTGGTGTGAAAATACTCACAAGCCCCTGGCTGTCTACCATGGAATGCAAGGTTATCTCAATGCGAATTAAAATTGCAGAGAGAAAAACACTGTTATGTGTGCTTATGCACCAAACAACAAGGAGATAGGAGACATGAAGTTCGATTGGACTCAAAACCTCCATTATGGAACCCGAGGGCCTGCTGTGGGATACTGGTGGTGAGGGAGGCAGTCAAGCTGAAGAAGGAGGCCTTTAGGGACTGGTTGGCATGGAAGACTCCCAACTCAGCTGATAGGTACCAATGGGCAAAAAAGGAAGCAGCGGCGACAGTGGCAGAAGCAAAATCCAGAACATGGGAGGAGTTTGGAGAGGCCATTGAGGAGTTTGGCTCCATCACATGGATGTCTCCAGCGTGCGATGGAGTGGTTCGCAGCTGAGCGTGAAATGATTGGTATGTGGATCAGCACCTCCAAATCATGGTCCTCTCCTGGAAAAAGATGGCATGATCCCTCCAGGTAAGGGGAGAGGATCTGCGTCGGGTGGAGGAGTTTCTCAGGGTCTTGTTCACAAGTAGTGGGAAGAGGGACTGTGAGATCGGCTTCAGGCTGGGACAGGTGGCAGCAGAAATGTGGTCGCTGTACCGGACTGTAGTGGTGAAGAAGGAGCTGAGCCATAAGGTAAAGCTCTCTGTTTACTGGTCAGTCTACATCCCCACCTTCACCCATGGTCATAAGCTTTGGGTAATGACCGAAAGAATGAGATCAGAGATACAAGCAGCAGAAAAGAGCTTTCTTCACAGGGTGGCGCGCTACACTCTACTTGATAGGGTGAGGAGCTCAGTCATCTGGGAGGAGCTCAAAGTAGTGCTGCTACTCCTCCACATTGAGAGGAGCCAGTTGAGGTGGTTCAAGCATCTATTTAGGATGCCCCCTGGCTACCTCCCGTTGGATACCAACTGGGACAGGACCCTGAGGTTGTCCCGGGACTTGCTGGGGAGATTATATCTCCAAGTTGGCCTATGAGTGGCTCACTATTCCCCAGAATGAATTGGAGGAATTTGTGACAGACAGGGTCGTCTGGGCTTCTCTGCTTTTCTTATTGCAACCACAACCCTAGCTGAATCAAGCAGGTTAAGAAGATGAATAAATGAATACATTTAGATTAGCTTGATGTCTTTAAATTCTAAAGAATATTATCTTTTGTTGTAATTAGATTCTATTGGACTGAAGATGATTCAGCAGTATGCAGGTATGCTAGTTTTTTTATTTTTTTTATCTTATTCACTTAAAATCATTATGACAGTGCTGCAAGTCATGGAAGTACAGTGGATAGACTATGTGAATCCTAGTGGCTAAACTATGTAAACCCTTTGTAATTACCTAGTTTTCTACATTGACTAGTCATAGAATGTGATAAGTATAGACAATCACAATGTGCTAAAGCTAATAACACACAATTATAATATTTTCTGTTTTTATTGTGCACACTAGTCAAACACTTACTGGGCTGGTGGGAAAAAAAATAAGTGAACCATTGGATTTAATGACTGGCCAAACATCTTTTGACAGCAAACTTCAGGCATGCAGCAATGTTTTTTTTTGCTTGTTTTTTTTTTGGAGAGCAGCAGCTCAGTTCATTGTGTCCTGCCATGGACTTCAGGCTTGTTGAATGTTTTTCATAAGATAGACTCATGAACAGAGATGTTAACCAGTTCCACTGATTCCTTCAACCTTTAGATTTTATTCAAGGTTCTTTTTTACTTCACTGAGCATTGTGTCTTTGCAGTGATCTTGGCTGGGTGTCCATTTCTAGGGAGAGTAGACACAGTACTCAGTCATCTTCATGTATAGACAATTTGTCTAACTGTAGGCTGATGAATATATAAAGCCTTTGAAATTACTTTGTAACCCTTCATGCAAATCAACAATTATTGGTTATAGATCTTCTGAGATCTCTTTTATTGCAAGGCATGGTTCACATCAGCAGATTCTGCTTGTGAATAACATACTCAAATGTTTGTTAGTTTGAATGATTTTTTTTCAACAACAGTACATTAATTGTAAAGGGTTCACATATTTGTTCTTGCCACTGTACATAAACAGAAATTCCTCATAGATCAGCACAAAATACATTTTAGTCCTCCATGAACACTTTTCAAAGTTCATTCAATCTGATCTAAAAGATAATGCATTTATTTATAATCTGTTCTTATCTTACACTGTTTCTCTCAGTGGATGTGACTCTGGATCCTGATACCGCTTTTTACTATCTGATCCTGTCTGATGATGGAAAACAAGTGACACACAAAGACACAAAACAGAATATTTCTGACAATCCGAAGAGATTTCACACACGTACTTGTGTCCTGGGAAAGGAGGGATTCTCCTCAGGGAGATTTTACTATGAGGTGCAGGTCAGTGGCAAGACTAAGTGGCCAGAGAGCCCATTAACAAGAAGGGGAAGATTACACTGACCCCACAGAATGGATTCTGGACTGTGTGGTTGAGGAATGGGAATGAGTATACAGTTCTTGCTGGCCCCTCAGTCTTACTGTCCCTGAGAGAGAAGCCCCAGAAGGTGGGGGTGTTTGTGGATTATGAGGAGGGTCTGGTCTCCTTTTATGATGTGGAGGCCAGATCTCGTATCTACTCTTTCACTGGTCAGTCTTTCACTGAGAAACTCTATCCATACTTCAGCCCTTGTAATAATGACAAAGGCAAAAATTCAGATCCTCTGATCATAACACCTGTATTTAAAGCTGCATGAATTTTCAGATCAAACAATTCAATATTCTGTGAAATGTTAAGAAATGAAAGACATTTAGTTTGGTCTACTCTTGACTGTTGAAGTGAGTGGTGTCACCATGGCAAGATCCAAAGAGCTCTCTGAGGTCATCAGAAAGAAGGTTGTGGAAACATGAGTCTGGGAAGGGATTTAAAAAGATCTCAGAACAATTAGAAATCAGGCATTCTACTGTCTGGAAAATAATTTACACATGGAGAACAGTTAAAACAACTGCCAACATGGCCAGATCCGGCTGTCCTAGCAAGTTCAGCCAAAGAGCAGACCACAAGATGTGTAAAGAAGTCTCCAACAATCCTAAAATGTCATCATGGGACCTATACCTATATTGCCACTGTTGATGTCAAAGTACATGCATCTACCATCAGACAGAGACTGCACAAGTTTTTATGGGAGGTGTGCAAGGAGGTCAAAAAGAAACATCAGGGCAAGACTAAAATTTGCCAGAGGACACCTAGACAAAGGCCATGACTTCTGGAACAATGTGCTTTGGACAGATGAATCCAAAGTTGAATTATTTGGGCACAGTAACAGAAGACATGTTTGGCACAAACCAAACACAGCATTTGAGCACAAGAACCTCATGAACCAACTGTGACATATGGAGGTGGAAATGTCAGGTCTACGGCCTGGCAAGCTCTCCATCATAGAATCCACTATGAATTTGTTATTGTATCAGAAGGTGCTTGAGCAAAATGTGAGGCCATCTGTTCAAAACCTGACAATGAAGTGGATGTTGACCATGCAACATGACAGTGACCCAACACTTTCCAGAAAATCCACCAAGGAATGGCTCAAAAAAAGAAATGGAGAGTTCTGGAACGGCCAAGTCAATGTCTGGATCTTAATCCTATTGAAATGATGCTATCCAATCCTATTGGATGATTTGAAACAGGCTGTGCATGCAATAAACTCCCACAGATGAAAGAACTGGGGTGAAATACCAGCTATTAGGGCATACGGTGTCCTAACTTTCTTCTCAGTAGAAATTGGCATTTTTTGTTCTAATAAATGTTAACACAGTCAAATTTACATTGTTTTTGCAAAGGTGATGCAGTTAAATCATCTTTATCTATATATATTGTTTGAAAGAAGATCAAATATGTCCATATTTCTTAATAAAGAACTAATTATTTAATGGAGTGTCCTTATTTTTTAATATTACTGTAAATAACAATGTATAATTTTTAGGGATGATATAATTGGACCAATCACACATGCAGCAAGTGAGAACTAACCATGACTACCATTGGGAGAAAATTATGGAAAATAAACACGTGAGATAATTATTACATATTATATTACAGTGTTTAGTTAATCTTAAGTAATGTATAAAATGCTTGTGTATTTTATAGATAATAAAACATATGGTTTGTAATATATTGTGGTTTACAGTACTAGCCTTTAAAACATAATAAAGAAATCCTGATAAATCAGATCTTTTCATCATCTGTGTTATGTAGTAATTTACTGAGGTCTCCAAAATTTTGCCTAGAATTATATGCTTTTTTAATGCATACAATTATGGATGAGACATTCTTTCTAATTCATGATGTGTTTATGTCTGAGCTTTTTAGGAAGTGTTGGTCAGTATAGGCTGTGTATGAATGCTAATACATTAAAAAAAGGAGTACCCTGTGGGGATTAGAAAAGCTTCACTAAAACACTAACCATGTAGAAAAATACTATCTTAAGTAATAAATCACACACATATAATAAACCAATTACACATCACTTCAGGTTATTTTTAAAATATTGTACTTAATCAGTTTCCCAGCAGTTCATCACAAATTGCACAAGGCATTTATGTAATAATAACTGATGAGCAAGGAAGTGGCATCTATTAACTAAATACAATTCAAACCATTCTAAAACTGTGCCTAAGAGGCCGACTCAGTGTTCAAGACTGTGGATTAGAATTTTATGATCAACTGAACTAAGCTGCACTAAGATCCAATAAGACCAGAATAGAAGGATTTTGTCCATAAGCGCTGCTTGAGGTCATTCACAACATGAACCACTGCTGTCTCAGTACTCTGGTTAGAACGAAAACCTGATTGAAACTTCTCTTATGACTTGTTTGGTATTAGTCACACATTTAATTGTTTGAAAACAACTTTCTCTAAGACTTCACCTAAAAAAGGAACATTTGAAATTGGTCTAAAATTATTTAGTATGGAAGGATTCATGCTACTCTTTTTTAGCAGAGGCTTCACTAAGGCAGTTTTAAAAGCATCTGGAAAAACACCTGCTGACAGAGAACAATTTACAATAGTTAAATCATCACTTTGAACATAATCAACAAACATCTTAAGGAATGAAGTAGGAACATGGTCAAGATCACATGTGGACAAGCTTAATTTGTTTATAACAGTCGCAAGCTCCTGATAACTGATAGCACAGAAAGATATCATTACTGATGCAGATGGCTTACCAGGAACAATATTTTGGATTTTGGTATTATCTTTGCGTCTATTAATTACACTGGAAAGGTATGACTGTCTGAATATTTTCGTAGCATTATTATAGATTGAGATCTGATCTTTGAGAATATCATAATGTACTTGCAGTTTAATTTTCCTCCATAAGCGCTCTGATTCACGACAATTTCTCTTGATCTGGCATATTTTCTGCATTCATCCATTGATTTTTATGAGTACGCAAGTTTTTCTTTGTTGTGTCTGGAGCAAGAGTGTCAAGAGTTTCCTCTTGTCAGTTTTAGGGAGTCAGAGCTGCATTCACTGAACTATTATAAATGTTTTTAAACTTGACAATTTAACGCTTTTCAAAGTAACTTTCAGGCACTTTCTTTCTTACTTCAATATTGATTTGAAAGAAAATACAGAAATGATCTGAAATGAAAACATCAGAGATTAGGGACATGTTTGTGTTTAAATCTTTAGTACCAGATCCAGGATGTGACCTAGCTGGTGGGTGGGGCTGCCCACATGCTGCTTTACATCGAATGTCTCTAGAGGTCTAATGAATTCTAATGTATTACTGTCTGATGGATAATCAATATCTAAGTACCAAACTGTCACTGGGGTGGTACCCTCAAGGGTGCATCTTCATTACCTTTAATTAGAGAACATAATGTTAAAACAATCCATTGCAATTTTTTTTTAAGTTGCATTAACTACACACACCCTGTCTTGTCTCCAGCAGTTTTTCTTATCTTGATAACCTAATGTTTTAAAACATTGCTATGAAAATGTACAAATGTGTACCCTTCCTCTGGGAAACATTTATTAATTGCACAAACTTAAATTAAAAAGCTTAAAATTACTGTTGCATCTTTGAAGATACATTTGCATTGTTTGTATCTTGAGGAATGAAAAACGTATGTGAACAGTACATTTTTTCTGACAGTGCATTATTTGCATATCTGCATGTTCTATTTTGTGATCAAGCTGCCAGTGGCTGACAGTGTCCATGTTGACTAAACCTATTTGTTTTGATGAACATATTTTTATGTACTTTATTACACTTTCAGTTGAATTTTTCAAAAAGGGTAGGAGCTGGAAATACACTCACTTTATCAAGTACACCTACTTTGTATCTATATTAAAGTGCTAATAGTCAGACCGCTTGTCACTGACGCTGGTAATTGGCATTAAACATGAAGTGACTCACTAGTGTGGCTGGCTTTGTAATGGCAATTTAGTTAAGTCAAAGTTTGATGTTATTCATATTTTGTTTCTTATATTTTGTCCACTCACTACATATAAATTCCTAATTTTATAATTTTTGATTCATTGAGCAAGGTTAAAGTGAGCTTGTAGAAAAATATTATTGTCAGTAGCAAGCCAAGGATTGCAGGTATTGCAGTGAGATACAGGCCTTGAATTTAACTTGATAAGAATGTGTATTATTTATAGTAATAGTATAGTACAATAGTACAATAGTATAGTAACAAGAAAATTGCAGATCTACAACATGAATTTACCATCAAGTAAAAATAAAAGGTACAAACAAAAACAGGATGTAAGAGTTTAAGAAACGTAAGTTTATATAACAAACAAAAACAATATTTTTATATATTAAATTACACTTTCCATATCTCCTGCATGTGGAGAAAGGCACTGTCCCCACTTCAACCCCATTCCAGTTCTAATAATGTAATATGAATAATGTAGGCAGGAAGTGACATCACACTAGTTGAGTGAAAGTGAAACTGAATTAATCCGGAAGTTCACATGCAAGAAGACCAGCCTCTTCACTGAGAGAATTTTAAGCACAGACAGTTCTGACACTCCAAAACCTGTAAAGAAATAAAATAAAGGTATGTACTTCTGCAGAAGATTCATAGACTTTTTACCTGTGTGTGCTTCATCAGGGTGATCGACGTTAGTAAACAATGTCGGATGAAAAGTGTTTTAGCGCTGGGAAAGTGATCATCAACAGATGAAATACTGATATTGAATGGAATGGAATGCAAGTATAATATTATCTCCAACGAGATCACAGTATACTGTTCCTTGTGAGCTAAGCTAAAAAATATAATGTAATGTTCTGAGAGCAGCAACGACAACAAAAACCCTCAACAAAAAAAATGACATTCAGTGAGAAAGTGGGAATGATCATTTGTGACTTGTGACAATGATCAGTGTTATGAAGGGAACAGGTTGCAGGTATTGTGTGGTCGCAGGACCTCCCGTGCATTTGTGAAAGTGCTTGATATAATATTTGTTTGAGTATGTTTAAGGCAGTAGGCAGATATGTTGTATTACACATGCTGTTAAATGTGATGTAATGTGATGCAGTGTCTCCCTGAAAATAGGAGGAGGACAGAGATGGCTGAATTCTCATCACCACAATTAAGAGAAGGTAAAAGGAGCATGGTTGATCCACATAACTATAAGTTAACATATACACATTATTCATATATAGCATTTGAAATTGGCTATACTCTCCAACTCTCTTTTCAGCTCAGGGTAACTTGACTTTAACTGTGGCTGTATCAGTCCAGTATAGTCAAAGTGAAAACAGATTATTAACAAGAATGAAATGCTTTTTACATTCCTGATGCAATGTTGAGGGCTAAACTGTCTCAACATGTACATTAGAGCAGTATATTAAAACCAGTGATGGTTTATGTTTAGTGTGTACAAGGTATTGCTGAGACGCAACAGCAATCAAAAGGCATTTACAGGGCTATACGCAGGTATAAAAAAAAATAGGAAGCAGAGTAGGTGATGCATTGCTCACTGTTATTTTATATGTGTTTTTTAATTCATTCAGTTAATTCTAAAAAGAGAAGAACCTAAAGGTGGCAAATACAGTATATGCAGCGAGGATGCCTCAGCTTGAACTTGAAACAATACTGTCACACTGTACAGCCCTGCATGTAGATTATGAGCCGTAGAATGCTAGAAAAAAACATTAAACCATTTCATTACTTGTAGCCTACTTTTGAGACTCACTTCCAGTATAAGAAAAAGGTGCGATGATAATTCGTATATTTTCTGTTAATATAATTTACAATAATTTTCTGATACAATGAATGAAGACTTCTTATTTTTTCACTTGTGCACTGTAGTATGCGACTCCAGCAGTCTCCTGTCTGAAGATCAGTTCCTGTGTTCCATCTGTCTGGATGTGTTCACTGATCCAGTCTCCACTCCATGTGGACACAACTTCTGCATGAAATGCATTAAAACATGCTGGGGCAACAGTGAGCAGTGTCACTGTCCATTCTGTAAAGAGAAATTCACCAAGAGACCTGAACTGAAGATCAATACAACACTGAGAGAGGTTGTGGACCACTTCAAGAAGAAAAGTGGTCTTATTAAGCCAGACATTCTTTGTGATGCCTGCACTGGTGTGAAGCAGAAGGCCCTGAAATCCTGTCTGGATTGTGGTCTGACTTTTTGTAAATCTCATTTAGAGCCTCATAATAATGTACCAAAACTTAAGAAACACAAGCTAATAAGCCCAGTGAAGAACCTGGAGGACTACATATGCCAGAAGCATGAGAGACCCCTGGAGCTGTTCTGTAGA